AGCTTTGGGTAATGAAGTTGAACAGCTGGAGGTGAAGGTGAGGGCCAGCCAGGTGCCACAGGTTCATGGGCTGATGGCTGAGACCCCACCAGTGCTGCTGGGCTGGGATTGGGAAGGATCCTCAGGGCTGTGGCTCCACCAGGACAACGGAGGAGAAGGAATCACCCCAAAGCAAAGCTGCTAAGGAGATGTTGTTACATGGGAAGATAAAGAGGAGGCACTGGCTGAGGTCAGAGCTGCTCATGTACAGTGTGTTCAGCCTATAAATAGCTCCCAATCTACCTCTGCACCAGTGGGATTTTATTTATAGAGTGATGAGGGGACAAAAAGCTCCATTTGGTGTCAGGAGTTGGTTTGGGAAGGTGGTTCAGGCTTGGTCAACAGTTTAGGTCTCTGAGAGGAGCAGAGCAGGACCCCAAATGTGTGGGGTTTTCTCCTCTGGCTGAGGCTCAAAGGCTGCAGTGCTGTTAATGCACCCTCTGGAATCAGGGAGGGCACTCCAGGTGCTGGCATTCAGGTACCCCACAGCAGATAGGATTTATCCATGGCCCTTGGATCAGCCTAACTCACATGGAAACCCAGATTTTACTCTCTAAGATACTCTCTGGGCTCCCCAAGATATATTTGGTTCTTTCGCCTTCAGCTGTCAAAAGTTGATTTGAAAATTAATTGGTTTTGGTGTAATATTTACTGCACTTTAGCTTTCAGTACAGCACAGGGGAATAGATCTCCCTACAGCTGGCAGTGTCTGATGGGATTTGTTCCTGCTCCAAAGGCTCTCCACGTTCTGTGCCCACCCTTCCAGCTTTGAGCAGCCCAGTCACCTTTTCCTACCCAGCTCCCACTGGTTTGGGAAGACAGGGGGAAGAATTTCACCTTAAAGAAGCCACAGTTGGTGCAAAACTGAACCCAAAGTGGAGAGATTATAGGTGTGGCCTGATATTCCTTGGAATTAAAAGGATCTTCCCCTTTTTTTTGTACCAGCGGGCTTTTGGCTGGGTTAAAAATGGGTCATCTCTCCTTGAGATAACCCAGCTGGGGGAGGGTTAAGCAGCAGGTCCTGGAAGTGCCCTGGCCCATCCCCAGGGAATTATTGCTGGCAGAATAATTCCACAGAGCAGGCTGGAGGTGTCAGGGGAGGTGGTGAACCTGGATGGGAGGTGATTTAGAAACAGCCTTTAAATAAATACCCTGTTAGCAAAGACATCAGCAGAACGTTTCCTGATGGGTTGTGATTGCTCCTGACTTTCTCCCAGGAGGACTGAGGACTTTCCAAAGCTTTCACTGCAGGGTCTGCTGTCCCCTGACCCCAGGGGAGGTGACATTCTGACAGGGAATGTTTCCTTGTCTGAGGCTTAAAGCCTGAACTACCCAGGGTGGGCCAAACATTTTCCATCCTCTCTTTCTTGAGAGAAAATAGAAAAATTATTAGTCAGGTTTCCCACCCCCCAAAAAAAAAAAAAAAATCTGCTGAGTTTTCCCTCCCACCTCAGTGAAATGCTTTCACCTGAAGATTAAACTCCTCTGAGCAGAGTTAAGTCCCAGTGTGCTGATGTTTCCTATAAAACATGATAAAGCATCCCATGATTTCCTCCCCAGGCATGGGGCAATCAGCACCTCTTTCCCTCCCCACTCCCAACCAAACCCTGTCAAGGAACAGGCTCCCAGCTCCCTGGAAGGTTCAAGTTTCTCTGTCTGGCATTTGCAACAGTCAGATTTGGGCAGCTCTGGGGTTGGGGCTGCAAGTTGAGAGGTCTGTGAGGAGCAGGAAAGGTGCAGAGACCTCGAGGTGGTGGATTATGGAGTCAGAGAATATCCTGAGCTGGAAGAGACCCATCCAGTCCAACTCCTGGCCCTGCACAGGACCCCCCAAAATCCCACCATGTCCTTGAGAGTGTTGTTCAAACACTCTTTGAGCTCTGGCAGACCCCAATGAGTCTCCACTCCTAGGAGTGGAGAGGGGCTATTAAAGGCTGGAGGGGGATTGAACACAGTTAAAAAGCAAAACAAAGTCAGATGTCAGAAGCTGAGCCAGGCTGGTGACGTGGGATGGAAGTGATTCCTTTGGAGCTGTCAGATTTGGAGTCATCTGAGGCTGTTTATTGCTGTAAAACTGGTATAAATCAGAGTAAAGTGAGATGGGAATTGCTCAGGGGGGACAAGGGACAGGACAAGAGGGAACAGCCTCAAGTTGTGCCGGGGGAGGGTCAGGTTGGATATCAGGGAAAATTTCTTCACTGAAAGGGTGTCAGGCCCTGGCCCAGCTGCCCAGGGCAGTGGTGGAGTCCCCACCCCTGGAGGGGTTTAACAGCTCTGTGGATGTGGCACTTGGGGACGTGGGTTAGGGGTGGTTTGATGGTTGGACTTGATGGTCTTGGAGGGCTTTTCCAAACTAAATGACTCAGTGGGTCTCTGCTGTCCCCTCTGCTCTCCGAGGTGCACCCAAGATGCACACACAGAGGTCTCTCTGTGTTAACAAATCACAATGACACTGCTCCAAACACCAAAACACACACCAGTAACGCTCTGAAAGGCAATCCAAGCTGCTTCTGTCCCCACACTGCCCAAGGACTCCTCCACCATAACAACTCCTCCCTTCTTCCTTGCCCTTCACAGAAATCCGGGAGGCGTTCCGAGTGCTGGACAGGGATGGGAATGGCTTCATCTCCAAGCAGGAGCTGGGCATGGCGATGCGCTCGCTGGGGTACATGCCCAGTGAGGTGGAGCTGGCCATCATCATGCAGCGCCTGGACATGGATGGTGAGTCCTCACCGGGGTCCTGCTCTGCTCCTGGGGGACGGGGGGGCTTCCCCAGTGCTCGTGGATTGGGCTCAAATAATTTGTGGTCTCCGAGGAAGGGCTGGAGAGGAAGCTGGGGAACTTTTGCTTCCGCCGCGGCCAACTCTGAGATGCCAACCTGCCTCTGAAGCAACCCATGGGAGGGAGCTGAAGCATCTTCATGTGACAGCTGGGACATCTGGGTGCAGACAGAGCAGGTCTTGCAACCTTTCCCTGCAAAGTTCACGGATCCCCAACAATCCCAACAATCCCACCCTGTCCCTGAGAGCGTTGTCCAAACCCTCCCTGAGCTCTGGCAGCCTTGGGGCTGTGCCCACTGCCCTGGGGAGCCTGGGCAGTGCCCAACCAGCCTCTGGGGGAAGAACCTTTGGCTGAGATCCAACCTGAGCCTGCCCTGGCACAGCTCCAGCCATTCCCTGGGGTGCTGTCCCTGCCCACAGGGAGCAGAGGTCGGAGCTGCCCCTCGTGAAGAAGTTGCAGACCCCGATGAGTCCTCACTCACACGAGGGGCTCTTAAAGGCTGGAGGGGGATTTAACACAACTAAAAATCAACCCAAAGTCAGAAGCTGGGCCAGGCTGAGAATTGATGGAAGTAATTCCTTTGCTGCCATCACCCCCATGGAATATCCCACAGGGATCACTGAAGGCCAATTCCTGGCCCTGCCCAGGACACCCCGGGAATCCCAGCTGCAAACAGTCTTTTGCAAGGCTGTTGTCACCTTTCCCTTTGCATTCCTGGGCATCTTCTGACCCAGGGAGATGATCTGAGTGCCCAAGCAGGCAGAGCTGCCCAGCCTTGTGGCCCCAAGTGAAAGATTCTGTGGGTGGGAGCTGCTCCCCGTGGTAATGAAGTGTTGATGGGCCTGAGGGAGAAGTTTTGAGGGGTGGAATAATTTGGAGCAAAGTCCTGCTGTGAGAGCTCATCAAACAATTACTGAGTGGTAATAAAAGAAACAGAACCCACCATTAACAGGGAGAGGGAAATGCAGCATCAGGATGCTGGAGCCGGGGAGGACTTTTTAACAATCAGAGCTGATCACAACGAGCAGAACGTCTTTAAAATGTCCTTGGTCAGAGCAGGAAGGGAGACACAAAAGTGTGCAGGGACATTGGGATGCAGCTCCAAACTTCTCCCACCCTTCCAAAGGGGTGGAAACAGTGAAATGATGCCAAAGCAGAGCCCTGAAGGCAGCCCTGGTGTGGAGGGGGATCCTTGGAGAGCCAGTGAGACACCACAGTCCTTGGGGAGAGCATGGAGAGCAGAGAGCAGGGCAGGTGGGGGGATCCCTGGATACCCCTGAGCTGCACAGGAAAACCGTGTTCAGCAGGGCAGGGAAGCAGGGGAGGGGCTCTCAGCCTGTGCAGGGTGTTCAGCATCTCCCCTAGACAGGCACAGAAACCCTGGCAGAGAGAGAAGATCAGCCGTGGAAATGATCTCATTCCTAAAAGAACGGGGGAAGAAAGAATCCATCACTTTTAAAAGCATTTTCTCCCAAAGTTATTGATTGTCCCTCGCTCTGTGCTGGCCTTTCCTGGCAGAGCAGGGCACGTCTCCTCAGGTTTTGCAAAGCCCAGACTCAGCCTGGTGCCAATTCCTGGGGTCTTTTACCGAAACTCGGAGGGTTTTTGGAAAAAGAGCTCTGGGGCTTTGGCTCCCGGGTTTGATCCACCTCCAGTTATTCCCTGACTCTTGGTCTCCGGGACTTGAAGCTTTGGCACTGTTTTGTACACGCTCCTGGCGTGCAGGGACCTGTAATGGGAGAGGTGGAGTCCAAACCTGCAGCAATGGAAGGTGTTCAGTTCCTGCTGGACACTTCAGGGAGTGTTTTCTGCAGAGATGGGGTTGATCCTCCACCTCCTCCAGCTCAGCACTTCCAGCAACTCCAATCTGGGTGTGCTGGGGGGGGTGTTATTGCTCTCCTGTCTCCTCTGCCTGTCGTGGCAGTGTCTGAGCAGAGGGTTTGGGGCTGCACTGATGTGAAGGTCAAGTGCATTAAAAAGAACCAGGGGAATGGGAAATTCCTGAGGCACTGAGCAAAGAGGGGAATATTCTGTGAAAGATTTACCTTGCCTGCAAATTGTATTATTGCTCTACAGCTTGAATTAATATTACATGGCTTATGGCTACTTTTGCTCTGATGGATTATCTTGATTTTTCTTCTGGGATTTAGCTTGAAATATGGAGTGAGAAGCAGGAATAGCTTCCTCCTCCCTCTCCCACTGTGATCAGCATCATTCAGTAGCAGGGCTTGATCCCAGTGAGCTCCCAGGGGTGTTGGTTGTGCCTGGCACTCCCAGGGACAACCTGCCCCTCCTTCCCAAACACTCCTGTTTGTTTCCTGTTGGGGTTTTCCTGTTGGGCTTGAGGGTTGCCAAACTTTTGCAGGGCTTTGGCTCAGCATCAGGTGGGTGGGAAGCTCAGATGGATGAAAGGTCACACTCAAGGAGGGTCAGGAAAGCTGGGGGGGTTCAATGAACCTCCCTCACCTCTCCTGGCACCTGCCATGAATTATGATGTGACAGAGGGTAACGTGGCCAGACATCCATTCCCCCCCAGAACTGCTGCCAGGGTGTGCTAATAATGAGGTAATACAATTGGCAGGGCTTGAGATTTAATCTGAACCAGCCTGAGCAGACCCAGAACTTTCAGTGCAAACACAGAGTTTTCCTCAGCGAGCCCCTCAGGAGCGTGGGGGGGTTGCAGGATGGCAGAGGGGATGGATCTGCCACAGCTTGTTTGACTGGTGGGCTTCAAACTGAGCAGCCAGAGCTGCTCTGAGTTTGGTTTTCCTTGCAAACCTTATTTTCTGTGGGGATACAGAGGGAGGCTGAGCCCTGTGTGGGTGAGGCTGAGGAGATGTTGGTGCTGTGGGATTGACAGGTTGGACACAGAGTGTTTGAAGAGGAGCAAATGCTGGAGTGGGGCTGTGGCTGAGCATGAACTGGGCTGACAAGAGCATTTCACACCTGGGTGTCACCTCCTGCCACAAAGCTCTTGCCCAGCTCAGTGAAGAGACTGAGGGGAGACCTCAGTGCAGGTACAACATCCTGGGCAGGGGCAGAGGAGGGGCAGGGACTGAGCTCTGCTCTGGGGGGACCAGGGACAGCAGGCAGGGAATGGCTGGAGCTGTGTCAGGGCAGGCTCAGGTTGGATCTCAGGCAAAGGTTCTTCCCCCAGAGGCTGGTTGGGCACTGCCCAGGCTCCCCAGGGCAGTGGGCACAGCCCCAAGGCTGCCAGAGCTCAGGGAGGGTTTGGCTGATCCTCTGGGGCACAGGGGGTGACTCTTGGGGCTGGGCCTGTGCAGGGCTGAGGGTTGGATTGATGATCCTTGGGGGTCCCTCCCAGCTCAGCACATTCTGTCAGTCTGTGATAACACAGGATTGACTTTGGAGGTGCCACCAGGTGTGCTGTGACACCCTCAGAGCCTCCCCAGCAGAGCAGAAAGGAAGGGGCTTTCCATAATTCATCCCATTTGAAGGCAAAATGGAGTCAGTTCGAAAACACTGCTTGAAATAAAGCACAAATGGCCGTGGCACAGTTTGGACTTTGGCCAGGAGTGTCAGATCACCTCTGATGCCTCCACAGCTCCCAGGGGCTGCCCCCAGCCCTCCCTCAGAGCCAGCAGCCCCTTGGTTTGCCTGCAGAGAACTTCAGCCACTCTCTGAATTCTCTGCTTTGCTGAATGCTCTGATTTCCAGGGAATACCTAATTCTTCCAAATCCTCAGCAAAGGCAGGGGAGCACCACTGCATTCCCTAAAAACACCTTCTCCCTCTTTCCTTCCAAGTCCCTTTGCTGGGAGTTCAAACAGCATTTGGACAACACTCCCAGGCACAGGGTGGGATTGTTGGGGTGTCTGTGCAGGGTCAGGAGTTGGACTGGATGGTCCTTGTGGGACCCTTCCCTCTCAGGATATTCCATGATTTGGCAAGGTGTGCTTCCCCCAGGTGAACAGGGGCACAGCTACCACAGGGGGAAAGAACAGTTGGCATAAAAAGATGAATTAGGGAGAAGAATAAGAAGCTCCTTGGAAGATTTCAAGGTCTCCAGGGAAATCTTAGAAATCAACAGAATTCTTACAAATCATCAGAAACCCCCTTTGACGAACCACCCAGTGATGGAAAATACCAAAATAGAACAGAAGGAAAAGGGATTTTCAGCACAAAAATGTTCCTTTTTTAGGAAGGGAAGTGAGGAATGGTGGTTCCATCACGTGCCAGGGCATGAGATTCCCATTAGGCCCAAGCTTTGCTTACATCTTGCTGGAAGTGGGGCGTGACTGGATCCCTGCAGAAGGTGGTTGGAGCCCCTGGGCATCTCTCCAGGGTGCTGGGCCTTGGAGGGACACTTTGTTTGCTTTTGGTCTGGAACTAGAGGTCAAATCTTACCTTTCTCTCCTTGATTTGCTTTATTCTTAGCCATAATTATGTATTGCATGAACATAAACATTGCAGGCTGGGAGAGGTGGGGATGTTTCTGTCTGCAATCTGGAGACTGACCTGGAATGTTCTGCCAGGAGGGGGGAATGTAAAATATTTAATCTATATTTCCGTGCTTGGAAAAAAAAAAAGGAATTATTTGTAAATTCTTCCAATTGGCAGTAATGCTAATAAAAATGCAGAGAAATGGCACATTAAATGTGTTGCCTTATCTGGGGTGCCTCCACTTTAAGCAGAGCTTTTGCAATAAAATAGATGAATGTGTGATTTAAGTGTCAAACTCGTTCGTTACAACATGAGACACTTTTATCTGAGGAATAAAATAAGCACTCCATGTACTAATTAGAGGAGCAGCTGCTTTTCAGAACCCTGGAAAAATAACTTCAGGCTTCAAGAGGGGGGAAAGAAAAAACACCCACCCCAGTGTATCAAATTATTGTGGTACAAATAGGAACTGCTTTGATCAAGCCAAAGACGAGCTGGTTCTCTGGGAGAACAAGGGACTCACCTGGTGCCTTTGTC